TTTATATGAATATGTAATTTTACTTTATTTTTTAATTTATTTTCGTCGCAAATACGAAGAAAATAATGGTGTAAATTGAATTGATTCCTAAATTAACTAGGATCTTAATTATGAACCATCGTTAGTAGAACAGTCATTATCAGAGGCTTTCCTGTAGTATAAAATATGAATGAAAGAGCTTATAAAAAATTAATGACATCGATATACCATATTTGCCGGCATATAAGACGCACCACATTTTACAAGGATATTATGTGGAAATTTTTTTTTTTAGTATGCTTCATCATACAATTATTTAAAGTGATTTTAAAGTGTTTTTTTAGGGGAAAATATGATTTTGTACATGTAAATACAATACAGTAGTACCCGCTTAACACGGTCAATTGAACCCACAGGGTACCGTGTTAAGTGAAAACCGCGTTAAGTGAACAACAGAACATATGGGATTAATTCCAATAGAGACTGGCCAGACCCCCAAACTCTACTTTTTCCGACACAATACCTATGTTCTAGTAAAAATAACATCTTAATTTTATGATGGTACATGCATACAATTAATACTTAAGAGAAATAGAGAAGTACAGTCGCCAAGTTAATGTCCATTCAAATAATGGACTCAACTCCCTCCCCCTCTTCTCACACTACACTCGCTGGCTCTTCCCTCTCTGAGAAATTTTTGGGGGAAAACCATTAAATTTTAATAAATAATACCTCAAACTAAAGTTAGAATAATATAATTGACATTGCTGGATTCCTTGTAAGACCAGGAATATTTTGAATATAAATGTCATATATTTTGCACAAAAGATAACATATTTACTCAGAGTAAACATTATATCTAAAATTTGTATGTCTAATGCAAAATATATGATGTTTATATTCAAAATGATCATCAAATTGTAAGAATTCCAGCAATGTAAATTATATTCTGGCCGGGTAATTTGTATGAATTTTATGAGCTAAAACAAATATCTTCAGTTAATAAAAAAAAATTCTTCACGACACTATCTGTCAATCAAAGTACCCCACCTTGCCTCCCCCCTCTTCCAACCGCTTGGTCCATCCCAACCCTCCCTGCCACCCCCCACCAATCCTCCCTTCAAGAGATGTTGTGTGAAAAAACTAAATTTTAACATTTAGTATTAAATAATACCTCAGATTAAAGTTAGGATAATATAATTGACATTGCTGGATTCCTTGTAAGACCAGGAATATTTTGAATACAAATGTCATATATTTTGCACAAAAGATAACATATTTACTCAGAGTAAACATTATATCTAAAATTTGTATGTCTAATGCAAAATCTATGATGTATATATTCAAAATGATCATCAAATTATAAGAATTCCAGCAATGTAAATTATATTCTGACCGGGTAATTTGTATGAATTTTATGAGCTAAAACAAATATCTTCAGTTAATAAAAAAAAAAAAAAATATTCTTCATACGGTAACAGATGGTCGGTCGGTCTCAACCTCCCCCCCACCAACCCTCCCTACCAGATGTGTGGGAAAACCAGAATATTTACCTTTTTAGTTATAAATAATACCTCAAACTAAAGTTAGGATAATATAATTGACATTGCTGGATTCCTTGTAAGACCAGGAATATTTTGAATACAAATGTCATATATTTTGAACAAAAAATAACATATTTACTCAGAGTAAACATTTTATCTAAAATTTGTATGTCTAATGCAAAATCTATGATGTTTATATTCAAAATGATCATCATATTGTAAGGATTCCAGCAATGTAAATTATATTCTGGCCGGGTAATTTGTATGAATTTTATGAGCTAAAACAGGCAGGCAGGCAGGGTGGGGGGTGGGGCGAATCTAAAAATAGCGTCTGGAGCCGGACACTCTGCGCGTATATGTGGAACCGTGTTAAGTGAAAGTTCGGCTCTGGCGAGGCACCGCGTACACGTGAAATCACGCTAAGCGAAACCGCGTTAAGCGGGGTATTACTGTATACTGTGTACTGGAATCAAGTAGGAAATCATATATGGTAACATTATACTAACCCAACTCTACCTCTGATCAGAGCAGCTGTGTGGCTTGTTTATATTTTGGTCAAGAAAATTACCGACAGGATGTGAAACTCGTACTTTTTGGCTGTGATGCTTTGTGTTGCCGTGATCGGCCACCAGGGTGTAGCACCATCGCTATTGTTTTGGCGTCATCGACTCATTGCAAATGGCTGACCGACGGCTGAACTTTCTGTGAGCATTTCTTTAATCTTTCTAAGGTCATTTTTCATTAAGATAATAAACAAATGTTTCTTAAAGGTAATACAATCATTAAATAATGTTAGACATGTATCTGGTGTGGGTTACGTATGCTGGGGAAGTAGGTACAGTGAGATGTTGTGAGCTTCCCTCTGCCTTTAAGCCAATGTAAGCCATTATTTATGTCTTCGGCAAATTTGCCGTAAATTTGTGATAACAGATTGTGATAATTTGGCTTGCTTTTCAGTATTTTAGTATTAGTAATATTATTAGTAACAAAATTTTTGTGCTTACTAGACTACTGCTCATCCCAGACTCCCTAGCTAGGCACCTCCGCCTATGGTGTTCGGCCTCCCATCTGTAATACGGGCGCATTAGACGCAGGGTAACTTGTGATACATTAAAAAAGAAAAATGCGTCTTATAAACCGGCAAATAAGCTAAGTGTAAACAGCAACACAAGTACATTTGGTAACGATACTAAAATAGGGCTTGTAATTAAATCTGACGACTTAAAAAAATTACAGTGTAGAAGATGTAAACTTATTTTTCTCATGGTCTGATAAAGGGCAGATGAGATTCAATGTGAAAAAATATAAATGACTTAACCTATGAGATGTAAACACAGGAACCAGATATCAGATGGACAACCTTGAAAAAGAGAAATCCGACTGAGAAAGATTTAAGGAGCAGCCTTAAACAAACACAGCTAACAAAGTACTTGCATTCATGCAAGGTCAGACCTCACTTGGATTATGCAGTTCAATTTTGGTCACCGTAGTACAGAATGGAGATCAAATCCCTAGAAACCATTCACAGAAAGATGACAAGGCTAATCCCAGGCATTAGGAAACTTGAGTACAGTATAGACAGGTTAAAGCATCTGAATTCGCACTCCCTCAAGAGATAATGAGTGAGGGGCGATATGATCAAGGTGTCTAAATGGAAGTAAAGATTAAACACTGGTAATATAACAAAGGACCTAAAACTATCTAACCAGGAGCGAACATGTAGCAATGGCTTTAAATTAGACAAATTTAGTTTTAGGTAAACACTGGTTTGGAAATAGAGTGGACGAGTGGAACAAGTTACCAAACACCATCATTAATTCGAACATGCTGGGTAACTTCAAATATTGGTTGAGCAAATACATAAGCAATAAGGGTTGTGTGTAAATGGGGCAGACAAGCAAGGGTCAATAGGCCAGCTGCAGTTTACTCCATTCTCATGTTCTTAAACCTATAGTACAGTATGTGAAAAGTATTATTGCATCAGATAAAAAGTGTAAAATTCTAACAGGTAGAAACTGTAAAAAATGCAAATACGTATGTGGCAAGACTTCGTATGAATAAAATCTTAAATAATTATATACAGTGATCCCTCGGTTAACGATTTACCTTCCATAAGATTCTTAACTTTGGTTAACGAGCAATCCTTCGATTAATGAGTTTTTTACAAGCCGACCTCAACATGTTTTCGCTTGCATTAGGCAGTCCACCAGCTGTAGTATTAGTCCGCCAATACAGTAATCAGTTTTAGGGCTTAAATTCCTTACTATTTTAGTAAATATCAAGTAGTTTATTCTATTCAATAATTTTAAAAGTTTAATATTAAATTTTGTTAGTCATTTTAACAGTTATTGAACATAATTGAAGGTAAAGAAACTAGTTTGTGGCGCGCCATCCAGCCTGTTAACACACCAAACAGGCATTAGTACCTCTCTCTTTTCAGTGGACTCTCTTCAACTAAACGCTTTTTTGTGTGTTTCCAAGCAAATTATTGGTCATTTTGAAATTTATTTTACATATTGACAATATATAATGCAGTGCACTGTTGATTTAAGAAAATAATCTTGAATTAAACCAAGAGAACTAAAATTTTATGGGTGAAATAGCACCATGGGGTGACTTCTCTTCCACACCAAAGCCTTTTCTTCTCCCTTCTCCTCCAGCCCCATTCTAATTCCCATCATCATCATCCAGGAGCCTTCTACATACACACCTCAAAGTAAGTGTACTTTTCTACCTTTTTTGTTGAATTTAGGCAATGTTCGGTGAGCTGGAACCAATTACCCAAAAACCCATTGAAACAATGGTTTCGGTTAACGAGCAACCTGTTGAAACGGATTGTGCTCGTTAACCGAGGGACCACTGTATTCTCACATTACATTTATGACATTGAATGAAGCAATTTTATTGTATTACAATATTTAATATTCACTATTATATAGCATTACACACCTCTCATGATAGTGATTATGTATTGTTTTCTTTTATTTACCTAATTTGGAATCATACAGTTCAAGATTACAGTTTATAATGTACGTACTATAATCATAATCGATTACATTACTCTTGGAAGGAATAGTAATTGTAATCATGGACTTGCAAAGTAATCATAATCGATTTCATTTGTGGAGGAATCATAACATGTCTGATTTACCACCAGTACAGATTTAAACCCATATCATTATGTTCTATCAAAGGTCTAATACTAAATTAGGATTAACAAAGTTTATCATTTTGGTCACAATTTATGAAGAGAACCAAGAGCAGGCTCAAAGATACAGTAATGGCATAGGTAGAAGTGTTATCCATAAGAGACTCAGCTGAGACTAGAGAACTTACACAGCTGCAACAATGGTCTTATTCTTGTCTCTAAGCCACATTTCCAAAAAAAATTTCCCTAATGAGATTTTACTGTAAATAAAATTAATTACCAAACTTGAGCCAATCCATAATTGTTTGAATGATAATGAAAAGATAAAAAAAGTGAAGCACAAATATTTATTATTAAAACTTACAAACACACTTTAGTCTGGACCCCAAATTTTGAATGTACGGTCAAAGGAACAGGTTGCAATGATACCTTCTGTGGGTGAAACATCTACACCCATAACCTTCTGGCCATGTCCTTCCAGAGCACGCATTGGTTGAAAAGATCCATGACACCAAAGACGAACTGAACCATCATATGAACATGTAACGATGTACTGTCCTCCTATTCTATCATAACGAACACCAGTAATAATGCCTGTATGAGCTGGGATAGTGTAGATACATCGACGTTGCCTCATGTCCCAAACTCTTGCCGTGTTATCCTCACTGCCTGTTACTAAATGGTAGCCATCAGGGGACCAATCAATGGCTAAAACTGGATTCTGGTGTGCACTCAAGAACATAACACACCTCCCTGTTCTCAGGTCCCAAATACGCCCATAAGCATCCATGCCACCTGTGGCGGCTAATGATCCATCCTTCTGAAAAGCTAAGCAGTACACAGGCTTAGAATGACCTTCTTGGAAAAGAACCTCTTCTTGGATCTCTAAATCCCATAACCTCATGCTATTATCATGTACACATGCACCAAGGAACCTTCCACTTGGATGAAAGCAAACTCGTGATACTCTTGCTTCGAGAGTTGGAAGTTCCCCAAGAGGCTCCTCTCCATTTAAGCTCCATAGCTGCACAGTTCCATCACGTCCACTAGACACCAAATTCAAAGCCGTTGGCTCCATAGATAATGTAGCACTAGGGTGCCACTCAACACAGTCTACATAACAATTGTGGCCGCGAAATGTTCGTTCCTCCAAACAATTACTTACTTGCCATAACTTGACAAGACCACTCCATGAACTGGTTGCTAAGAGTTTTCCATTTGGACTAAAACTACAATAACAAATTGGTCTAGCATCAGCATTTTGACTACCTAAAAGACCAAATGATCTTAATTTATTCTGAACTTCCTGCCTTCTGGCAGTGCGTGTTGCTTCTGGGACTTGGTTTTCTAGATGCTCTCTTTTCAACCTTGCTCTAGCACGAGGAATGGAATAATTGACAATAAAATTCCGTGCCTCTTTTAACGGCTGTGGTCCCTCGTGATACCACGTCTCCTCTGGTCGCTCTTGATCATGGTCTGGTGTGTCAGCTTCTTGTTGCCCACCAACTGTCTTTTTCAGAGCATCTTCACCAAGCCGGGACAAAATTTCTTTCAAGCGGTTTCTTCTATCAGCAGGGCCTTCACCATACAAGCAAATTGGCTCACCCAGTTGTCTTAACTGCTGCTTTACCTATTGTTAATGAAAAAAGAATATTAACATCTTCTCATCAAATAGTGCCACTGCTGTCTACAGCCTGTGCCATTTACATGTAATTATGACACGAGTAATAGACAAGGTGCAAAATCCTTTAAAAGAGAGAAAGGTATAGAGAAGTTCCTCAAACTATAAAATTCTGTCTCCAGGAACTAAACACACCATTTTGCAGTCATCACAAAGATTACTAAAAAAAAAACTTACCATGGCTCAGGAAGTGATAAAAAAACAGGTAAAAAAGTACTTTATCCAATTTGTTATTTGTAGTCCTTATACTCTACAAGAAATATGTGCATGTGAAGTGTTATAAATTTGGCCATTAGAATTTGAGAAAACCCAGCTAATGAATATGTATGGAGGTGCAGATATGGGTAACACAACAGTACAGGTGGCCCTCACTTTAAGTGGGAGTTGTGTTCCCCAAGGCCAACCACATGACCATGTGTAGATGCACTGTTGCCTGCTTCAGCTCCCTCTTTTACTTCATTCATGGGTAAATAGAGTGATTAGGAGATGCACTTCAAGGTAATTTTGACAACATTGCAATAATCAACAGTAATGGTAAATCCTTGCTTTAAGAAATCAGAGGAATCTAGGTCCACACATAACAATGGGCACAATGAGGGAGCACATAGGTTGGCATGTGTGGCTCTTACTCCCTGTTTCACCTGCTTCTATAATGCCTCAGCTACAGTAGAGTTCATGCATGCTGACACTGGATGCACAAATTTTGCACAAACAACCAAGCTGGTTGACATAACTGCAATTTTTTTACATACAAAATGAGACTCGTGGAAATAGGATCTTTGTATACAGTGGTCCCTCAGTTGACGAGATTTCGGTTAACGAGTTACCTTCCATAAGATTCTTAACTTTGGTTAACGAGCAATCCCTCAATTAACGAGTTTTTTACGAGCACCTCAACATGTTTTCGCTTGCATTTGGCAGTCCACCAGCTGTAGTATTAGTTGGCCAATACAGTAATCAGTTCTAGGGCTTATATTCCTTACCATTTTAGTAAATATCAAGATGTTTATACTATTCAATAATTATAAAAGTTTAATATTAAATTTTTTAGTCATTTTAACAATTATATTGAACATAATTGAAGGTAAGGAAACTAGTTTCATGCTCGCCATCCAGCCTGGCAACACACCAAACAGGCACCAGTCTCTGTCTTTTCAGTGGAGGAAACATCTTGCTTGAGACTCTCCAACTAAAAGCTTTTTTCTGTGTTTGCAAGCAAATTATTGGTCATTTTTAAATTTATTTTACATATTGACAATATATAATGCAGTGCAGTGTTGATTTAAAGAAAATAATCTTGAATTACATTACACCAAGAGAACTAAAATTTTATGGTTGAAATGGCGCCATGGGGTGACTTCTCTTCCACCCCAATGTCTTCTCTTCTCCCTTCTCCTCCACCCCCATTCTAATTCCCATCATCATCATCATCATCATCCAGGAGCCTTCTACACACACACCTCAAAGTAGTGTACTTTTCTCCTTTTTTGTTGAATTTAGGCAATTTTCGATGAGCTGGAACCAATTACCCAAAAACCCATTGAAATAATGGTTTCAGTTAACGAGCAACCTTCTAGAACGGATTGTGCTCGTTAACCGAGGGACCACTGTACTAGCAAAATTGCAGTAAGTGAAGTCACAAGAGGCAAGGGCCACCTACTGTATACTACAGGTTGTACCTCTCTAGTCTGGTAACCTCGGGACCTGACCAGTGCCGGACCATGGAAATTCACTCTTTTCCTGAATAGATAGTGACTTGGCTTGGAAGCACTAGCACCACTTTCTCTGCTTCATGGTCTCTTTGAAGACATATTGAAGGGTTAAATGTCTTACAGTAGCTTCTCAAATTTCGCAAGTTTTTAATTCGACGTTTTCTATTTGAACAAAAAAAAAAAAAACATTTAAAAATTTTGACGGCGGAAATTTGAATTTCGACGGGTTTGAATGGCCCACCAACGTTCAGACGACGTGCACAATCGTGTAAACAGCGTCATTTCTCTTATGTACAAAAGATTCATTATTGTTTATTACTGAAAGTCTTTTTGATTGAATTGATGTTTGTGTGTGCAAAATGAGCAATACAATTCATTAATAATACGTAGAATATTAAAACACAAGGAAATGAGACAGCAATGTTTTCGTTGATTACAAAACCAGTGACTGACTGGTTCTACATATAAAACTGAAGAAAATAAGACCCTGGTTGTAGCTGTAGTACAATTAATATGGTTGTTTTAGGTAATGTTATTTAATGTTAATAAATGGAACAATAGAAGTAGCTAACGATAATGGTAAAGAAAAAAAGAGAGATCGCGTATGTAAGTGCGCACACGTGAAAACACATCGTCATTACTTTACCTAAGAACATGAAAGCAACACTTACTTTCTGTTCATATATATTTTAATTAATGTTTCTGAATTTGTTTTTATTGAATTAATGTTTGTGTGTGCAAAATTAACAATACAATTTATTAATAATACGTGGAATATTAGAGGAGACGAGACGGCTCCCGGCATTGTTTTTGTTAAAGCTTACAAAACCAGTGACTGATTGGTTCTACATATTAAACTTAAGAAAATAAGACCCTGATTGTAGCTGAAGTAAAATTAATGTACAAAAATTAATATGGTTGTTTGAAGTACCTGTAATGTTATCTAATGTTAATAAATGGAACAATATAAGTAGCTAACCATTAATGGTAAAAAAAAGTGAGACTGCACGTATGTAAGTGCGCACATGTGAAAACATATAGTCATTACTCTACATAAGAATATGAAAGCAACACTTATTTACTGCTCATATATATTGAATGGTTAAATGTTGTACTCTGTATAGACAAGCAGAGAGAGAGGGAGAGAGAGCAGCCGAACTGCCGGATGTAAACAAACCTTAATTTCCAGCGGCTTTGTTGTTGTTTTTTTTTACAGGGATTAGCCCACCCGGGCATAGATCACTGACCCACATTGGGGCCTGAGGGGCAAAAATTTAATACTCCTGTAATAATAATAATAATTCAGATAAGTATAAAAGCTGCCTATCTACCTATTGGACAAACTAAAATCGTTCCGGACCACAGAATGACGGACTAGAGGGGTACAACCTGTATAATATGATTTTCAAATTAATAGAGTTAGAAAATACATATCTTGAGTATGTTCTTAAAGTGTATGTCAGGTTTTTGCAATTTGTGTAAGTGATGACACATTAGGTATGTTTCCAAAATCCAATAAAAAGTACAGTAATAAGTATCCCTACTGTGATTGGAACATCTTCAACTTAACCCCTAAAATATTGGTGTACATTAAGAAATAAGATATTTTAATTCTGATTATGAATTATCCCCTGAAGTTTTTTCTTCATAGACTTGTATGTAGGGGGTCCCCTGGTTACGAACGGGTTCCATTCCTGAAGACGTTCTTAAGTCAGATTTGTACCCATGTCGGAGCACATGCTATGTGCATACCGTACTTACAGAAGTTTAAAATCCCACTACAGTATTTTACGGTTTACAAGGCACACTTTTTTGTCTGAAAAAGTGCAAAAAAAATCAGCCTGCATCCTATATGTGAGGTTGTGGTCTCCCGCAAGCTAATGAATTCCCCCGTTGTTGTCTCCAGTCAGCTAAATTCCACCTAACCCAACTTCAAAATTAAAAATATTTTATTGCTTACTTAAACACATTATAATTTTTAATTAATTAACAAAATAATTATTGTAAATATAAAAGCTCAATTTATAATTACTGTACAGTTAACCCTCACTTTACGCGGTCCCGCATTCCGCGTTTCCACGTTAACGCGGTGCCTTGCCAGAACCTCACGTGCTCACATTACGCGGTACGTGAACCCCATTACGCGGAGAGTGTCCGGCGCGACGCTATTTTTAGATTTGCCCCACGCGCCACCCACCCGCCCGCCTGCCTGCCTCTCCCTCCTCCTCCCTCCGCTTGGGCAAGCGGCGCGGTAAGGTTGCGCAGTGTGTGTCTTTGTTGCGTTATCACTGACGTCATATGACGTATCAGACCTGTGATTGGCCATGCATCCCTACCCCCCTCTGCTGCTAGCTGTAATTGGCTTAAAGTATTATGACGTGTCCACCCGGGGGAGGGAGGGAGGGAGGAAAGACGACGCTTGACCTAGCCGCGGCAGTTTCATCCCTCCAGGCCACACCGTGTATAGTGCATCCATTGTTCTGTGATAGTGATAGTGACAGTGAAGGTGACTTTGAGGGATTTGTCAGGGAAGCCCTGACAACTGTAACTGATAGTGATGGTGATGCACCTAGTAATGGTGATTCACCTGAGGGCCAGTAATCTGCCCTCTGCCTCGGAACCAGCCTCCATCCCCGTATGCCGACCCATCTCTTCTACCAAATTTTTAGTTTTCTAACCTAACCTTTATTTTTCCTATGTTAACCTTTATCTTTCCTAACCTAACCTCTTCTATATTACTTGTTTTTTCATACCATCATAAAGTTAAGATAAAATTTTTACTACAACATAGTTGTGTGTCGTCAAAAAGTGGAGTTTGGGGATCGGCCCGGACTCCATTTCAATTAATCCCATATGTTATGTTATTCACTTTACGCGTTTCTCGCTTTCCGCGGTACCCTCCGGGTTACATTAACCGCGTAAAGTGAGGGTTAACTGTACTGATGATGATAACCTGAGATGATTAACATCTGTACAGCAGACACCCAACTCTTCAAAGGTAGCTAAGCAGTAACCATTTCTTAACTCTTACAAGCATTACAATCTATTAATGCCATTACCAGCAACATTCATTTTTCAATCTACAAATACCTAATACAAATGAAGAATTACAGATAACTTTCTTTTGACATTTACATCTGTTAACATCACTGGCGGCATTGTAGCCAGGTTAGATTCGTCACTGTAATCAGGCTACTGGGCCAAGCTGTTTTTTTTTCAACTCGTATGTTCGGGTAG